TTTAATTTGGAAAAAATAGTCGTTTTTTTTTTTTTTTAATAAAATTGACCACTCACCAACAGGAGCAACCAGTTGATTAGCAGGGGGAGTCATAGGGTCAGGAAATTCGGGCAATCTGTACAGCAACCAGTAGTGATATCCCATGGGTTCTTCCTTGTACCCGGCCAGAGTGTGCACGTAGTGTCCATTAGGCCATTCGGATGCTTCAAACGTGAAATGCGAGTCCATGTCCATAGCCATCTGCATTATATTATAGAACGAGGTGTTCCTTGGGGCTACTATTGTTAGGGTGTAATTTTCGGTGATATTAGTGCCCACCCAAAGGGTGTAGCTTATGCTGATATTCCTTGGTTCAGAGTCGTTGCCGTGGTAGAAATGATATTGGGTTAGTCCGTCGAGTTCCACTGCAATACAACAAAATGTTAGGTTAGGTTACATTTTTATGACGCCATATTGACTGCCTACCATGATTGTCGATGTCTGGAGAGGCTCTGCCACAGTCTAGACTCCTTATTGTTCCCAAACCTCTGTTTTGTAAGGCCAAAATGATATCGGCGGTCAGGCCAGGGTCAGTGAATGCTCCGTCTGGGTCTTGGCGTGATTCTATGTACATTTTTGCCGCGGTTTCGTTCCAATGTGCGTGAACATCGTTAATATCGAAGAGGGCCTTTAAATAACAAAAGATTGCTATAAAAAACGTTTCTCTTTTGTTTGTTTGCATTTTGTTTCTACCTGTACGGCTAGAGCTGTGTTGAATAAATTTCCGAAGCCGCCATCTTGCTGTTGTTCTCTCGCCAAATTAATGCTAGGCCTTCGAACTGAATGTTGTAGATTTCTGTGTCTGTGATCTTTGCTGATACATTTCAAAGCTAATATCACCATGGCTACGGTATCTGAACAAAAAACAATCGGTGAAACATTAAACTTTCGCCTTATTCAATCCCCCAAGTGATACGCCACTGCTAACGTCGCAAAAGACAGGTGCGTATCAATTTGTTTTGAAGTTAAGAAAAAAATCATGAAAAATACGTTCTTCTCGTACTTATTATTACCCTCGATATCGATACAGGGTTGTAACAAGGAGCGTTTTTTTTTTTATTATTAGACTGCTATCGATTTCTTTTTTTTTTTTCAATTTCTCTTATGTAAAGTATCTTTTAAGATGTTCTGTGAAGATAAAAAGATTCTTATGAAACTTTTTTGCATCTTTAAGAATCGAAAGCCTCTTGAAAACCCACTCGACATCAGGTGGGTACTCAAGGGTATAGTTTTAACCTACTTTTTAAACACCCCCAGATCTGACCCTTTTTTTTTGGTACCTAGCACTGATTCATTGAACAGGAAACTTTTTCTTACCAATATTGTGATCTCTAGCCGAATTGGCGATGTCCAGGAGTCTCCGAATTTGTTTTTTTCTTACGTGCGCGTTCGATGTACAGGCGGCCAAAGTCGCATAAGCAAAGTCCAAATCTAACACGGGTTCGTGGTGCAGTAAAGTCCCTATTAAATCATGTCCATGGAACTGTCTAGGATCTTGACAAATGGCGTTCAGAGCTAGGGTGTACTGGGCCAGTTGGGGCGGGATTATGGGAACTTCATGATGCCTATAGTGATGGAAAAACAAAACAATAACGATCCTTATTCTTTTGTTTATCAGAAAAACAAAAAAAATAAACGAATGAGCAACAACAAACAGTTCAGTTTTGTTTTTTTGTTTTTCAAAAACAAGAAAATAAACAAATGAGCAACAACAAATAGTTCAGTTTTGTTGTTTTGTTTATCAGAAAACAAAAAAATAAACAAATGATCAACAACAAACATTTCTTTTATTGTTTTGTTTTTCAAAGACAAAAAAAAATAAATATTTATTACCTCCAAAGAAGGATGACGGTTTCGATCTCGAGTTGTTTTGCAGACAGTTGCATCTCGTAATTGTTGGGAAGTAGATGCGCCACTTCAGGATCTGCTTGCAGGAGTTGCAGGGCAATTAGTACCTTAGGGGTGTCATTTCTCCAACCCCAATTACTCTCCCTTTGCCCAATTAACCACAAAACAGCTTTATTCAAACTGTTATCACTTTCTGGGACTTGTGAAGTAGCAGAAGTCATTGTATAGTCATTTCGTGCTATAATAAGCCATGTAGTTATAAAATTTCTTAACGTAAAATTTTTATGCTAGTGGTACTACAATATGAGGCCTTTAATTTAATTAAACTGATCACATTTGGATTGAGTCATCATTAGAGAATGCAAACATGTTTGATTAGTTTAAGTACGACCGGGAAATTGGCCGGAAAAGTCGTAAACACCTTTGAATTGTTGACCTGAAGTAAATGTTCGAACAAGAATGAACGTGATGATTTTTATCATTCAATAAAATCGAAACGCTTAATTAAATTCTAAATAATTTATTAATGAACATAAAATTACCTTTCGAAAAATTAGTTGTTTGTATAAACGTCGATTCTCCATAAATTGCGATGATTACTGCACTCAGCAGAAGCGTAAAACTCCACATTTCTGCGACTTATTTTCTTTTGTGAAGGGGTTAATTAAGAAATGAAAATAATGACGCTCTAAATGCTGAAATAGAAGAATTATTATTTCTAACAGTTGCCTATTACCTATGTAATTTTTCTAGTAAACTTATAAAAGTATAAGTGTGTCCTTTTTATGGGCTTTTGTGATGTAATGTACCCTTTGTCCATGCCCTTTTGTAAAAAAGAAATGGGTTAAACTAAAAGGGCAACTTACGAAAATAAAGGCCCCAATGGGCTTGACATTTTCTTTCNGATTCAAACTTTCGATTATACGCCACTCATTAATTGTATAATTTGTAGCTTACTCACTTTAGTGTATATGACAAAAATGGACACCTTTGTCCCTTTGATTCTGGGCTTATTGAATCTGATGTGTTATTGTATGTTTCGGGATATTTAAAACCCGTTTATGACGAAGATACGAGCCCAAATAATGGCATACCAACAAAAGATATGGGACCCATTAATGAATGGTAATGTGTTTGATTTAGGTTTTGTTTGAGTTTTTAAATTGGTTCATTTAGGTGGGTGTCCGGGTTTGATGGGGGCGAGAAAGCTCTTGTGGGATTTTCCACAGCATATGGTGACTATTATGTCCAAGAGCCCTCAGAGGAGTATGCCCCTTTTATGAAGACAGTCAGACAAAAAATTGGACTTTCAAAAGTCGTGATAGAATTTCTGTTAGATGAATGTTGGCAACAGCCCAGCTATGAAGACCTTTTGCAGCGGCTGAGGGCCACCGGAAATCCGGATTTATCCGAAGAGGCCCTTTTAACACATGCACAGTTTGTCTTTGATCAGGTAAAAAAACAAACTAGGCATTGTATTTTTTACGTAAATTAATTTATTAATGACTGTAGGTGATGAGCTTTGATAATTGCGCTGGTGAAGATGATGATCTCTTGGTAACTACTCCTTGTATGAGAAATTTGATAAAAATATCAGGGGTGACATTTAAAGCAGGCAAAAAAATGGGCAGATTTAAGAAGGGTGCAGTAAAGGTGTCGATTTATTTTTGGTATAAAAAAGTTGAGGCGTTCTCTTTGTAACAAAAAGCTTTTAGGGTAAAGACAAGACTGGAAAGCAATCTGTTCAACATTGGAGCAAAGCAGCCACAACAAAACTAGTTAGAAACGTTTTTGAAACGTTCTTCGTTGATCAAATCGATAAGAACGATAAAATACCTTTCAGAAAGAAAAGATGCGGGGTTTGTGAAGCTTGCCAGACGCCTGATTGCGGCCAATGTAGTCATTGCAAAGACATGAAGAAGTTTGGCGGATCTGGCAGGAGCAAACAGGCCTGTAGACTTCGAAGGCAATTTAATTTTTAATAATTGAAAAAAAGCGGTAAATTGTCCAATTTTGTACTTTAGATGCCCCTACATGGAATTCCAACAGGCAGAGCAGGATGATGACAATTCAGAAGAAGATGAGACAATTAGAGAAAAAGAACTACCGTTATCTCCAACTATTAAACCCTGTTCAAAAAGGATTGTTAACAGTGTCAAGTGGCAGGGAGATCCAAAGGCAATGTGTCCTGAAAGGGTTTATTATAATTGCGCAGAAGTTGGTATGATCTAGTTTCCAGCGTTCTTTCAGTAACTAACTTTCTTTTTGCATTTGATGGCTTTTTTGCTCTTCTTGGTTCGATTTTTTTCTCTTTCCATCTTTCTATTTTTTTTTTTGGTGCAAGTCGAAATTTCTCCATTATTGTAGGTGGTGTTGAAATACGGGCTGGAGATTATGTAATGTTAGATACTGAAGAACCCAATAGGCCTTTGATGATCGCCAAGGTGGGGTACATGTGGGAGGACTCCTTTAAAAGGGCAATATTCCACGCTCATATGTTATGCAGGGGCACTGATACCGTTCTGGGTGAAACGGCGGACCCAAGTGAGGTTTTTGTTGTTTATGAATGTGACAACATTCCCCTGGGTACCATTATTAGAAAAGCTGTCGTAAGTGACGATTACCTACCCCGTTTCTTTTTAAAAAGAAGAATTATTATTTTGTCCAAGGTGGAAATTAAGAAACCCCCTGATAACTGGGCTTTAAATGGAGGTTTAGATGACTTGCCTCCTCACAGCGAAGACGATGGTGAAACGTTCTTTTGCAGTAAAAGATACGATCCCATTTGTGGTAGATTTGAAGACATTATTAGTGACCTAGACAGTCTGGACTCTTTAGCTACCCCTTGTCAGTCTTGCAAGTTAGTTTTTTGATTGTTTTGTCTATATTTGAATAAAAAACATTTGTCTTCGCCCAGGTGGAAGCACATGAACAAAAAAGAAAAGAAAGCAGTGTTAAAAGAAGGAGTGGTGTATTGGCATGGGGAGATTTTCAAAGTCGGTAATTGTGTCTTTTTGGATCCTGAGGTTGTACAAAATAGACATAAATGTAAGTAAATCATAGATGAACACTATAGAAAATAAAACTATTTGTTTTCTAATCTCAATTATGTTAATTAAAAAATAAAATTTAATTGATATTTTCTTGTAATAGTTCATTTATGTATGACAATTACTTGAATTATTAAGCGACATATTAAAATAGTATATTATTCTTACTTAGGCAGGTTGAGAGATACAGTTACTTTTACTTCAGTCTATGATCATGTCTATGATTTAAAAACTTTTTGGCGGGTTTATTTGGCGGCAACAATTTTAACTGATTGCAAATAAGCTTCCTGAATTTTTTGTATTTCTTTAATTTACAAAAACAGTCATTGTGAAGTTTTATGGTGCCTGTAAAGTGCAGTTATAGATAAGTTTACAATGCATAGTTGTGTGTTTAATTAGGAAGATTAACAAGTTAAAAGTGTAATGCAAACCAGGATTTCAATTAGTTTTGTTATATTTACCTTGTTCTTGGCTGTCTATATGTTGGAGTTTAATAGTTTATATTTAAACATTGTAGTCATATTACATTCACCTTGCCTTCAAAAATGTTTTTCAATTAGCTATTAAATATNAATTTGAAATATAACAAATGATGCAGATATTTATTGATCAACTTAGTTTTTCATCTCTTTATCAGGCTCGTTTCTACATATAATCGAAATTCTTCGTGTTTTTATCACAGGGCTATTTTTAAAAATACTTTCGGAGTTCTTTAAAAGTTCGTGTTTATAATCGTATCTCGCGGAGTCTTTCATAATATACAGGGATCGTCGCGTTAAATGGACCTTTGCGATCAAATCTTTATATTTTTCGTGCACAAGTTTCATTACACTTTCTGTAAGAAGACTTAGACCTGCTATGGTATTCCCACAAAACTGAAACAAAAGAAAATTACTTTTCTTTTGTTTCAAACAACTGATATCAGAATCATGTCACACTTACTCTGACAGAGTCAATGTGCGGTTTTATCACCCCTTTCTCGTCTAAATCTAATATGTGTACAGTATCTAGCTGGGGAACCCCAGGAGGAAAGGCAACTTGTCGAACTCTACTTAAAATTTGTGTATTTGCTTCATTCCAATGCAATATTTCTGTTTCTCTGTATCCATGAATTGCCTAACAGAGTAAAACTATTCCAAAATATTAATCTTAATTGTGAAATACAGGGTGCTCCACTTTAGCTTGCCATTTGCATGCAGGATATAAGAAATTACTTAGTGTAGGGCACCCTGTATATACCTAAGTTAACTTTAACTTACGTCATCCCAGTGGTCAAATTGATAGCGTAAGGTCTTTAAACGGGGTTCAACTTGATCTAAAAGACTCTTCTCCTCTACCTCACTAAGAAAGTCCTTGTGTATTATCATACTATTTACAAAATCAGTTTTTATTTTGTCGTGATTACTGAATGCCTCTGATAACTCTAGGTAGGAAGGACATTCCTCTATAATTAAAAACAAAGTTAAAAGAGGGAAAAGTAAGAAAAACATGGTAACTTACCTTGAATTGCAGGTTTAACTGCAGAAAAACTTCTAACATTTTTGCTAATTATTCTTTTGGCAAA